TTCCCTACTCTTGGCAATCTTATAAATATTTTGCTCTCCTTCCTTCGTCTCAAGGTTCTTATAAAATTCTTCAAAAGCTGGAACGAGCTTCACCCACAGCTCTCTTAGTTTCCTTCTTAGCCATACGGTACCTCTCCCAATTTTCCTCATTGTTACACAAATGTATGGCTTTAAAACAGTTCTTCTTATACTTGATTTTGTCCTGTACACTATTATTCCACCACCAAGACTCCTTATCTCTCGGACCAGAACCTTTCGATTCTCCCAAAACTACTTTTGCAACCTCCCGTATCTTTTTAGCCATATCCTCCCATATGATGTTAGCACTTCCCTGAGAATCCCAAATTCCTTTATCCAAAAGATTTCGCTTGAAAATATCTTGCTTCTCACCTTTTAATTGCCACCACCTAATCTTTGGTGTTACTACTTGTCGACGTTTTTGGATTTTACTCATAATACACACATCAAGGACTAGGACCCTATGTTGTGTCGTTACAGCATCTCCAGGGATCACCTTACAATTTTTACAAAGTTTTCTATCTGTGTTCCTAACCAAAAGAAAATCAATCTGCGACCTTGAGGCTCCACTTTTGTAAGTGATGAGATGCTCATCTCTCTTCTTGAAACAAGTGTTGGCAATCTTAAAATCATACGCCAATGAGAAATCAAGAAGAGTTTGCCCTTCATTGTTTAGCTCTCCAAAACCAAAACCACCATGCACCCTCGCATACTGACCAGCTTCCCTCCCGACATGCCCATTAAAGTCTCCTCCAATAAAAATCTTTTCACTCTGTGGTATGTGTCGAATCAACCCCTCCAGATCCTCCCAAAATAATTCCTTAAGACTGGCTTCTGTCCCGACTTGCGGCGCATAAGCGCTAACAATATTAACAGTCTCACGTCCAATTATCATTTTTAAAGAAATAATTCTGTCTCCAATTCTGCTAACTTCTACAACGTTCTTCTTCCACTCCTTATCTATAATGATGCCTACTCCATTGCGTGCACTTACTTTTCCTGTATACCAAAGTTTGAAACCTTGAATATCGTTAGCTCCTTCTCCACGCCATTTTGTTTCTTGCAAGCAAAGGATATTGATTTTCCTTTGAATCATAACCCCTACAACCTCTACAGATTTACAATTTAATGTCCCAACATTCCAAGTACCAAATCTAATTTTGCTCTTATGGACTAACTTCTTTAGCCGCGTGCGTCCAGAATGACACGGTAGCCCTTGCTCATTTAACACTACATCCGGGCGCCGATGCAGCGGCTCTAACTCACTTATCACTGTACTCGAGCCATGCAGCGCGTTACTTACGGGCAACGACCTAGCATTAACATTATAACGTCTATTGTCCATGTTCATGATAGATTCAACAAATTTTTACATTGGCTGTTGATGGCCTAACACAACCCTCCTCCTTTACCCGGGCTTGGGACCGGCTATAAACATAGGCGGAGTTAATCTTGCTGATGCTATATCAGCCCCAAATGTCCATCACCTTGACTTATAATACACCTATTGCTATTAGTTGCATAATGGCTTGTGACTTAATGTCGGATGTTAAACTTAAGTTTTATACTCATTAACCAAGAAACTTTACTCTGGCCTTTTCAATACTGGTTCTCCTACTTTATAAATTTTATTGGTTAGGAAAAATCAAACTTCTGCATGTAATCTGTCCTTTGTTGTAATGTTGTTGTTGGCAATGGATGTTTTTTTATTGACGTCAGTTAATGGAGTAGCTGTGTGTTTTTGACTTAAAGATTTATTACAGGTTGCTAGAGTAACAATGCATACAATCGTGTTTCTTTTCATGTGTCCTTAGGTTTCCCGCTTTTTCAAGCATCACTATCTTAGAATCCAATATTCCTTACTAAGGGAAATGTCATCCTGTGCACGGGAGCTTGCCTCGTAATATAATCTCTATGCTTAATGATGCCTATTTCCTCGTTCGATTTTGCATTTTGTCAGCTAAGCTCTCAGATCTCCACAAACCCTTCTGGGATTATTGCAAGGGCGCCTCTGAAAAAGCCCTCTCTTGGCCAAAAGAAACCACTGGAGGGACTTGGTTCCTCACCACCTCCTCCAAGGTCTTTTTTCTTATTCTAATGAATCATGATTGATTGTTTATCTAACTCCTTTTTAATCTCTATAATCTGCCTATTATCCTACAGTAAGAAACAGAAAGCATCTGGGGCTTCTATGGAACAAAGCATTGAACAGCTTAATGATGTTACTGCTGTTAGTGGAGTTGATCTTAGGGTATCGTACTTTGCCATTGATCTTGGGCAAATAATTCTAGATTAGGGATTGTTTTTCTTCTATAATCAAAGCCCACATGGTTCTATATTTTATCTATTTTGTAGGAGGAGGAAGAACAGTTATTTTCAGGGCCAAAAGAGGACAGCCGAATTTCAGAAGCATCTCGAAGAGTCGTGCAAGAAGAAGAAGAAAGACTGATTTTGCAGAAAGCACCACTGCAGAACAAATTGATGGATATTAGTTAGTCTTCTTTTTATTGTTTAATGCTGCCCATATGTTTAAGATTCTTTGTATGCTTTAAACTTATCTGGATCTATACATAGCCTTATACTTCATTTTGCTCTCACTCTGGCAGTGGTCAAATGTGGTTTGAAGGGTATGAGCAATGATGTAGAGAAATGCTTGTCTCTGGTGAGATACGAGCAGATTTTCAATTAACGTTGTGGTAGTTTTGCATGTAAACTCATGGCTGAAAGTAAATGTTCAGTGCGTGGAGGAAAGAATGCGTGGATTAATAAGTAGCCTGATCAGACTCTCAAAACAGGTCAGTTGTCTCAACTGTTTGCATGAACGGTCTTTCATCAATGCAAGCAGTTTCTTATGCCCCCAATCAATTTCGTACCAGCGAGTGGATTTTGAGAAGACCAGACACCGGGTTGTTGTCACATCAGACGTTCGGCAACAAATCATGGCAATTAATAAGAGAGCAAGGGAAGAGTGGGAGAAGAAACAGACAGAAGCAGAGAAGACTCGTAAACTTAATGAAGTGAGTTCCACCCGTGGAAGATATTTTTGTCTATCTTCAAGAGTTTTTTGAAGAAGGTTTATACGTACATGAAGCTGCATCCGTGAAATTTTCCCATAACATGCGGTTGTTTTGAATATCTGCTTCTGAAACATGTTTTCTTATCATTTAAACCGTGAATTATACAGGCTGAGAGTAATCCTGGGCTTGATTGTGACAAGGATAAGGATGAAGGTCGTAATAAATCAACAAAGGTATTCATCCCTCTTTCTTGTGTATTTTATTATTCCACAGTCCATGTTAGAAATCTTTTATTTAATTTATGGCATCATGTAGGTAAATAAGGAAGAGGATGACAAAATGAGGACAAATGCTGCAAATGTTGCTGCTCGAGCTGCTGTTGGGGGAGATGACATGCTGTCAAAATGGCAACTCATGGCGGAGCAAGCCCGTCAAAAACGTGAAGGAGTGGTAGATGCATCATCTAGTTCTCAACCTGCTAAAGATGCGAGTCGCAAGTCTGCATCTTCATCTGGAAGAAGTACCAAGGATAATTCGGATGGGGAGAAAAGACTTTCAACGTCTTTTGGGACTTCTGGTAGGTTCCGTTCAAACTGATTATTCATTCATGCGTGCCACGTACTGTATTTTCTAGTCAAATGACAAAGTGATACTAAGATATCGACATGTGAAAGGTGGTTCTAATCTCTCCAATAAAATTGGTCTCTCCTTTTCATTGTAGCGCTGTTGTTAGCTTAACATAAGCATTTGCAGATGCTGCCTGACCTAGATTTCGTGCTATTTCTGAGTTGTTCTACTTCCTTGAATGTTACTGTTCCAACAGGAACTGCTCGAAAACTTGGGAGAAATCAAGGCATTGCACATCAAACTCGAGTAGCTCGTAGCATCTCTGTTAAGGATGTGATTGCAGCTCTGGAAAGGGAACCCCAGATGTCCAAGTCACCACTAATATATAGCTTGTACGAGAGAATTCATTCCGATGCACTGGCTGAATAAGATAAAAGATGGTTTTGAAGATTTTGGCCTCGTTAATCTGAATAAGCTCTAGAATTGAAGGTCTGCTCTAGTTTGGCTGATTTCAGCTATTCGGCTGGCCTGCTACTGGTTAAATTTTTGGTCTACTGAAGCTACTGTCAACTCCGATGTAGGAAATTAATCCAATTGAAGTTCAAAAAGTTAGCCTAATTTTGTATATGCTTGTCAATTTTTTTTTTTGGCCAAAATGTACACTTGTCAATATGACATACGGTTCTTTTTATTATTTTTCTGTTTGCAACCATGATATGCTTCGATTTAATGTAAGATGAAATGCAGAGGTGGCCTTCTAAACGTTGGCCATAATATAACTATAGGAATTGAACCGCTTGTTTGTTTGTTTGTTTGTTTTTTTTTTTTTTTTTTATAGTGAAGCAATCACTTGTTAGGTTTTTTTTTTTTAAATAATCAGAATGTAAAAGTATTCATATTCTGATTATTTTGAAATGTGTAAATTAACAAACTTGTGTCATGATTATAACCAAATACACCGATTTCTTATTTTCATGAAATTTTTAAATAACATCTCTTTTAAAAAATCTATAAATAATTTGAAAATTACTTATTTTTCAAACTTAACGAACCATAATTACTAATCAGCAAGGCCTTTTTCTTTGGGGACCGGGTGATCGTCGAAGAACTCATCTACTTTAAGCCAGTTTCTGCATCTCTTTTTAGGCATCTGTAATTTAACCACATCATTTTTGGATTATTAAACTCAGCTCAACAAGCTATATACCTTCGCGCGTAACCAGAATTTAAAAACAAAGGGAAAGAAATCTATGTCGCTACTGCCTTAAAAGAAAAATGCAGCTCAGCTAATTCATGGTGAGCTGAAAGCCTGAAAGTTATAAAGGGCAGTGCTTATATACGTAGTTTCACATTCAGTATCTCAGAAGTGCTTTGCATATTGTAAGAGCGCAAAAGATGAAAAGAGATTGGGAAATTACAAGTCATCAAGGTAACCAATTCAGGTCTAGTAGAAGCATGCTCAGGGTCATGGGATTTGTATACAAGGAAAGATGTTACGAGTAGCTATTCGATCATCATATACTATGGTGTTAAAGTTTTCTTTCCGTGAAAATCTGGACAAACGGATGTACTTCCTCCTTCCTAGGTCATACATACTAAGTCGCCAAATTTTACATGAATGTTAAACCTGAAGCATGAGAGAGAATGCAGACAGCAGACATCATTAAATTCTATGCTCACACCTTTATTCAGTCACCTCTAAACTCTAGAGCAAAATTTCCAAGTATTTGGGCTCAATAATTCAATGGCTGTCTAAGATCTTACAGTTAACCGGCAACCAGGATTACACTCAATTGTCCATACAAACCATTCATATCTGAAATAAGTCGCGAGTCGTCACCTTCTTTGTTTTGTCTCTTACTATGTCAATTTCTTGAAGCCAAACTGCATGACTAGTCTTTCAACAGTACCTTGGCTCAGAACGTCTTTCAAATGCAACTCCTTCAAAAGCTTGGCAGCAATATCCATTTCTCCTTCAAAAGCAAGCCCTTCAATAAGAATGGTATATGTTGTCTCATTAGGCATGCATTCTTTACGTATCATCCTCTGAAACATCTCCATAGACAAGTCTGTTCTTCGAGACTTGCAGAGACCAAGTATAAGTGCATTATAGTTATCAGTATCAGGCCTGTGCTCATTTTCTTCCAAAACTTTGAATATCTCAATGGCCTCATCCAACATGCCCTCTCTACACATTCCTCTAATCAAAGATGAATAAGTATAAGAATCTGGAGTAAATCCATACTTCGTCATTTCATATAGTAGCTGAAAAGCTGGATACGTGTTCCCTTTCCTGCACAAACTTGAAATGACATTTTGGTAGAAGTCATGCATGGGGGAGTTATTTGTTACCCAAGCTTTGGATTATGAAGAATGAATCTTGTACCTTCCCCACCTCACAAAGCATACCAATAGCATTGTATGTCCCTTCATTAGGATTACAATGCCGAAGCATCATTTGTTCCAGACACTGAACTACAAGATCCACCTTCCCTTCATTGCAGAGACGGGCAATAATCGGATTATAGCTGGCTGCAGTTGCCTTGAATCCACTCCTTGCCATTTCATCTAAAACCTTGAAAGCATGTTCAGTTTTTCCATGGAGGGAAAGAGAAGTAATTAATATGTTATAGGTAACTACAGAAGGAGACTGATTTTTTCCATGCATCTCGGCTAAAAGCTCATTTGCCTCCTCCCACCTCCCTTCATAGCACAAACTCCTCAGCAAAATGTTGTAGCTCACAACACTAGGATCAAACCCCTTTGCTGGCAATTCCCTGAAAAGCTTAATAGCTTCTTCAGTCCGACCTTCCTTGCATAAACCTGTTAACAGAACATTGTAACTCACTATATTGGGCTTCCCACCCTTGGCAATTATTTCATCTAGAAGTTTCACGGCTTCATCGGATCCCCTCTCCTTGTAAGCAGCTTCAAGTAAAAAAGAATAAGTGAATGCATTTGGGACCAAACCCTTCTTGGTCAATCGATCTAAAAGTTGCAAGCTTTGATTTAAACCCCCATGCATGCACAGCCCTTTAACTAGAGTGTTATAGGTAACAGTATTAGTAAGAAAACCACGTTCCTCCATTCTTTCAACTAATTGCATTGCATACCCAACATTACCCCTCTTGCATAGATAATTGACCAAGTATGTGAAGGAAGCTGCGTCAGGTATAATGCCTGACCCTACCATCATCTCCATTACCCTGACAGATTTCCTCATTTTGTTAGCCTTGCAAAGATCATACAAAAGCTGAGTTGCTTGAGTTACGTCAGGCTTATGGCCTTTGCCTACCATATGCTCTAGATGAAGGAATGCATTATTAACTCTAAGCTCCTTACTTTTTGGGTCGCTCTTCCCAATCCTCCAATCAGGCAGAGTAAAAACATTACCTTTAGGAGAAATAGCTATCTGGCTATATGACAAAACCCTCGAAAAACCCTTGTTAAGTGAAAGGGTATGAATGTTTGGAATCTGAGAGTGAAAGCTAGAACAATTCCTTTTTGTTTTTGGTGACAGATTTGCGGCTGGAGATACGGTATTCAGCAGTGCTGCCATAGCTGAATCCTAGCTGACATTCGTATGTAAAACAATCATCAACATTTAGGTTGGGCTTCAAGAACGGAGAAAGTATTGACTAAAAACAAAAATGAAGATTGAAGAGACAGAACAAATGTTGAGTGGCTCAACAGTTGAGGTTAAAGAAGAGAGAGAGATACCGGCGAGCATTTATCAATTGCTCGGCCTTCTGTGATAATCGCCTATGTCCCAACCACGACTGCCTCCTTAGTTATCCGGAACGGTTAATGCCAAATGCCAATGGTCATAATCTTCGTTTCCCATTACATTTAGTCATTGACAATTTTATATTGCATCGTAAATAATGCGATTTTATTTTATATATTTCTCTCATGATTAATGTTAAAAGATTTTTTCAGTGTCTTTTTTTGGCAAAGACAGCCTTGGTTGAATTAAAATTGAGTAGTAAATATGAGTCCCTCATTTTACAAGAATTTGAATTTAATTTACTATATCATTAAAAGCTAGTTTTTTTTTTTTTTGCTATATCCAATTCCATCAGTTAAAAAAAGCGCTTTTTTACCGATAAAGTTAAAAGGGTTAATTATTTTACTCATTTGTATTGTTATATTAAAAATAAAATAATAATGACATTGTGAGCTTTTAATTAATTTAATCAAAATGAAAACTTTTTCCAATACATATCGAAATATTGGAAGATCTGGGGCATATCATGACATGTTTCTTTATTCAAAAAATGCTTACAAAAATATTTATAGATCACCACCAACCATACAAAAATTTTTTTATTATAACCAGCGTAAACTTAAATGTAAAACAGTATTACCTACAGTTAACTAATTAGAAAATCATCATCAACATATCCCCTAAGAGAGTACCAGCCGAGTTTCATTTCGAATGAGCTTCAAGCTCAATACGCTATAGCCGCAGTGAAGAGTAACCGACTCATGCTAATGCGCGGCTTTCAATCTGCTTCATGTTGACACACAATGGAGAAGCAAAAAGTGAAGATCTGGAGCAGCTAGGCATGCTTGGCTAGAAAGAGACGGTGTATCAGAGCTTAAAGCTGGAGCGTTTAAAACAATGGCTCGCTGATAGCTTTTTTTATTTTTTATGCAAGCCTCTTCCCCCCCCCCCCTCCAATTTCATTGTTTCCTCCCATTTTTTATCATTTGAATTGAACTTTCCCATATCATTGCCATGTTCCCCCTTGTGCATGAGTGGTGTAAATACTTTCCTTCATGGGTGATGCAGAAACTGAAGATGATTAAGCCCCTACAAGCAGTTTAGATGATGTTCTTTTATTGGAGAACCTCCTTCCAATGGTTCCCCCCACCCCCCGGGGGGTATGAGAAGCTTACAAACTAGTGTTTGAACAACGTTATAATCAGCAACATGATCAGTTGCGGAGGAGGATCTGGAAATACCTTTACCAGAAAAAATATTTTCTTTTTCTAGTGACAAGCTTCTCATGAGAAACTTCTTACAAACATCGTAAGAATCAAGAGATGTCTTACTCAAGATATGGAGTACCCCTATGAGCCCAATATGAGGCAACAATTATACACATTTTGAGAGATTGCATGAGATCAAAGGAGATATGGAAGTTCTTAAATCCTGACAATTATTCTAGTTTTTCTGTGGTGATGTGCAGGAATGGCTAAGCATAGACATGAAGAAATTTTTTTGGACATGAATTCAAAAGCTGGCACTGGATTAAGTTCTTTGGACACAAGAACGATTTCTTTGAATTGCTTTCCTTTTTTTTTTATCTTTTAATCTTGTTATAGTTCTAATTTTCTTCTTCCAATTAGATTCTTTATATTGAATTTGATTGGGCGTTAAACACTTTATTTTTTCTTTCTTTTCTGTATTATTTTGTTTCTATTATGTATACTTGATTTACTTCAAAATAAAACAAACAAATGATTGACTGATAAGCAACCTATAGTATTAGTTACATTAATTGACAAAACGGATATTCTAAAGTAAGGTTGTCTCAGAAAAATTGTCCAAGTCTGGTAAGTAGAAGATGATCTCAAGTCAAGACCCGCATGAGAAAGTCACTATCTCCAAGCCGAAGGAGAAACAATGCTTTGCACACTATTGTGATTGTGCCAGCTTGCTCTTACACATCATTTTACAACTTCCTTTCTCTCACATGATCGAATAACCCTCCATACTCGAGACTCACACCTTTCCACCGAGAAGTTAACAAACAACTGGTAAGGTAGGTAGTTTAGTGGATAACAGGCTTTAAGGGCTGAGCCCTGAGCTTCGACAAATCCAGCCTCGAATCAAGATCTTCGTCTAATTCACCTACAACACTACTGCAAGGTCCATAGAAAACCACGCAGGATTAGAGTAAGAGTACATAACAAGGCGAGGAGCGTGACAGCAGAAAATTTTATAACAAACAAAACTAAAAAGGACTTACATGTTGTCACCCCTAATGATGTATAAACCAAGAACAAGTTGCTGGACACCTTCCTGTTATCAGATATAAGAATGAGGCAGACTTTTGAAGGACTAAATGAAACGTCAAGGATCAAAAGAAAAGCTTTTCCAGTAAGAATCTTTAGCTACTACAAAAAGCTTAAGCAATGACTCAATTCTAGCTTAGGCAGAAGACAAACTATGCCCCATTAATCAATACTATATCTGGTGGCAAATCCGTCAGGACACCTGAGTCTTTCCAAGAGCATCTTCATCCCCAACTATCAAACAATAGTACATATATGGTTGCCAGGCAAAACTTGATCAAAGATCAGCAGGATTAATATAAATGACATATTATTGAATTGCAAAACCCATACCATTCTTTAAAATGACACATGCATCATGAGCCAATCTGATTTAGAAATGTGTCGTTCATTTCTGCAATAACAGATGGCCATATTTCCTTTGAATAAACTGTTTGAACTTTTCTGTGAACATTGACTCTGCCATAACACTACGGAGTAGATAACATTGATCCACTCAAAACATTTTGGCAACCCATGGTGGTTGGGTTGAGTGAAAGGACCTCAATTCCTTTTAAGCAATGTCAAGGGTGCTACTTCCAATTGGGTTCAACAATGCATTAATCTAACATATATTACATAATTGCATACAAAGAATGGCAAGATAGAGGGGAATATTTTGTGGCAATGTCAGGTCTAGACTTCTCTAGAATGTCTGATTAGAGAGGAATTCCTGCATTTTCAAGTAAATTTCTTTGTTTAGCAAGGGCTTAATATGTTTTGTTAAAAGAGCATATCACTAAATCCTTACCTAAGTAAATGCCCTTGATTGTCTACACATTGTAGTCTGATGCTTTATTTGATAAGTAATATCAGCTAATGAATCTTCAAGGTTACTTTCAAGCGACAAAGAATAAACATGAAAATCCAAAGCAGGCTCAAGATGAGTACTGTACTGTCAGATGTTATGTGGATTATCTAATATCCCCCACAAAAACGGTTCAGTTACAGGACAGCCCATGACGTTCATTTTGATATATTATGCATTGAAATTGTCAGCATATCAAAATGCAGAAGATCCTACTTTGTAATTTTCTTGAAGCAAAGAACTACATGTATGCGTAATATTAAAAATCTGTACCTGATGAGATTGCCAAAGAACTATATGTATGCATAATATTTAAAATCCGTATCCGCTGAGATTGCCTCATTTTTCTGTATCAGGCAACTCTAAACAGCACCAAATAGTTTCTTTTGGAAAACCACTTAACTAAGCCATATGAAGATTCTAAATATAGCAGCATACTCAAAAACTGCAATTTTTAAAAGGTCATAACTGCTAGTTTTCAAGTTATAATTAGAAACAGAAAACATGTTTTTCCCTATCTTAGATCCATACTTTATAACCATATTGTGAAATGAAATATTGTATAATATTTTTAGGTGTGTGGCTGAGGTCATGACTTGATCTTGGTAAAAAAAAAAAAAAAAAAATTCCCTATAGATTTGCATACCTTAGTAGAAAAAACTCTTTCGTGGGATTCATCAAGAATTATATTTGTTGCCTGGTCAAAACCTTTCAAGATTCCCTGAACAGGAAATTGCTGTGGTTAGATTAAAGATACATACATACTCACTGTCAAGAGCTAATTTAGTACAGAGCACTAAAGCTCACCACTATATTTCGTCCATCATTTGTAATGACTGAAATGGTCTCTGCCAAAAAGTAAACGCTTCAGTAAAAATAAACAGCTCAAGATATAAGCAAAAGCACACTTTAATTCTTAAAACTTTGCCTTCAGTTTTATTTTGTACATCAAATTTTAGTTATTTTCACTTCTGTGCCTTGACTTCAAAATATGAGTCAGAATATTTCCTCTACTCTAACACCATTATTTTAACCGAAAAGTATGACAACAATATGATCAGTTTAACCTATGAAAGCTTCACGCTATCTTCACACTTCCAATTAAATTCTATCTTCCCTGATCACTGTTTAATTAAGTGCATTTTTTTCACTGGCTTATTGAATCCTAAGAATGGGAGATGAGGAGCCATGTTTTAGCCCCACAAATTGCTATCTACCTCTACAATAAGTTAAGGTGTTCATAGGCTCAGTTTGGTTTGGTTCTGGGCAAAAACCAAAGCAATCCCAACAAATCAGTTCAAACCAAGACAGAAGCTTGATCAGTTTTATCATTAGGTCGTTTTGGTTTGGCATGGATAATGTTCAAATGATGAATTTTCCTCCTTTCCATTATATTTTTAAAATGTAACGTTAAATTAAGCAAAATGGTTGAAAATAGGACGAAGAGGAGAACGTATGTACTGCTTAGCTCTTTCAGCCATCCTAATAGAACAAACGAGAAGAGAAGAACCACTTAAAAATAGAGAAACAATGATTACTTGCGTCAGAGGTAGATGGCAATTCATGGCATAAAAATTCTGGCTCTTTATCCCTCATTCTTAGGACAAACTAAGCATTGAAGAAAACAGTTAAGTGTTCTATTGAAAAGGAGTACAAACAAATGAAGAGGACAGATAGAACAGAGAGAATAATTGAAAACTTACAAAAGAATAAATAGATAGACAGACATGTGTATATATATATATAGATATAGATATAAAGAGAAAGGACAAAGCGAAATAGTGCAGTTTTGGGAGTTTGTCATTGCATGTGCTAGGTTAATGGGAACTTGAAATAATAGAGATTTGGCATGAAGCTTGCCTAGATTAGCTATGTCAAATTCTATTCATCATTTTCTTCCAAAAATATTGATGGTGTTAAAAAGAGAGAAACTACTTGAAAGTTAAGGAACAAAGTGAAACTAACTTCAGAAATAAAATTAAAGTTGTGGTGAAACTGTGGGGCCAAAAGTGATCAGGAATATATCTTTGCTGAAGATATATTTCAGGAGAACAACACTCAAAAAAAGCATTTAGTTAACTTAGGTTGCATATAGTAAGCGTAAAATAAAGCATAAAAAAAATTATGAAATTTGAAATATGAAACATCATATTAAAAGACAAACAAACACACAAAGGACATACGATCTACAAGAGACTCAAGTCCAAGCCCAGTTGACATCTTGCACGCTTTGGTATTAGCCAAGTTAATGCCACACTACCCTTCACGCCTCTGAAGCGTCTGACATCAAAACATTAACCAAACAATGCAAATGAAGATCAAACCATCTGGAAAGGGGCAAAAGAGAAATAAAAAGCCACAATTTAACAATGATGAGGCTCATCAGTAAAAAGCACAAGTTTAACGATAGTCCTCAGTTTGGAAGCACACATGAGGTTTACAGAGAATATCAAGCATTTTAAACAAAACAGAGAAATATGTTCTTGTATCCGTCGCTTATCATTACAAAAAATTCTACTGATTCAATAAAAAGAAGAAAAAAGCAAGTAAACAATTTAAACACATGAACAGCCACACGGAGAAAGGGAAATGATAAACCTTTTACGAGACATTAGTATTGTATATCATAAACAATCCACCTATCGAGAGGAAAAGATTAAAATGATTCACCTTTAAGAGTTTCCAGAGGAGTCACTCGCCGGCAATACGGAGAACCGTTGCTGAAGTCGTTCGAGAGGGACGGCGAGGAATTGGGTTGTTTGGGAATTTCAAGAGAAATTGTATCCAAAATTTTAATTATAAATACTTTAACTCATGCCGTCATGGTGGGTTTGGCCAACCTTTTTAAATATTGTTGCAGCTAAGGCTGTGCAAAAATTTTTCAATCTACTTCGATTTAATTTAATTTGAGATAGTCTTGTCTTATCTAATTTTTATAAACATTAATCCTTCAAGATTAAAAAGATTGAAAAAAATCAGACTATTTATTCGGGTTAGACTAAATAGGAGATTAGATATCTAAACCACCTGGTTCAGTCCTATTTTATTATTTAATATAATTATGTTTAATTTATTTTTGACAAATATTTCAAGTATAATTGACATTAAAGAGATAATTGCATGAAGACTTGTTGAATTTGTTTTTAAATTGTTGTTGTAATGTAGTATTGTTCAAGTTTGTCAAGTGTTATTTTTGTTAAAGTTATAAATTTAAATCATTTGGACTGTAACTAGAATGTTTCTTTCTTGTTGTTGGAAATTATTTTGAATTTATTATGACTATAAGTAATTTTATTATCTGAATTGAATTTATTAGATTGAAATGGATTATTGCTCCTCATAAAGGAAAAAGGAAAAAAATAAGTGAGTATTGGACTAACAAGACTAGTCTCCTAGTCTTATGGATCAAATTTAATCCTATTAATGTTGGAATTATCACTAGACAAGACTGAACTACGGGTTGCTTAACCCAATCTTTTTCATAAAAGAAACTAAACTTCATATTAGGGTGAAATTCAATGTCATCCAGTCCTTTGTGCAGCCCTAGTCCCAGCTATAGACTATGGGATTTAACGGTATTCTTCCAACTTCTTCTTTTTTTTAATATATATATATATATATATATATCTATCTATCGGAAAATATTAACCAAGGATCACTATAGCAAATTTATAACAAAAGATTAAAATAATCTAAATTATTACTACGAGACTAAAATAAAAGTAAGTTTGAGCATGAAACAACCATAATATTCTTATTTTTTTCTTCCCAAAAAAAAGTTACCCCACTATTGCCTATATATATAACTACAGAATAATTTAGATCAGCCATCAAAATTTATTATTTTAGTCCTCCAATCCTAACATTGTTATAATTTTTTTTATATTGAATTTGTAAATATTGATAAAGCATTTTCAAATGTTGACATGCTTGGTATAACATCCCAAAATTTAAAATAAAATTAATTAAAATTATTAAGGGAGTAGATTAATCAATATAGGTTCTAATTAGATTAATTAGAGTAATTGGATGGCCAATGCATATATTAGACCTTATAAGGAGCTTAAATGGGGATTGCAAGAGCTATTGGGCTACTTTGGATCTAAATTAATGGGCTTGAATTAAGGTTTCTAGATTGTGCTATCTGTTTTGGTGAATAATGCCATGTGCCATAGTGGATGCATTGGATTTTAAAATTCGAGAGGTGCAAACATAATAAAAAAATAGAGGGTGAGTTAAGAGAAAGTTGAGAGAGAAGCATGAAGCTCTACTAGGGCTTGACCCTACCCATGCTTGGAGGTGTTTTTGTACTACCAAATTTTTAAGCAAGCTTTTCCATTCATTCTCATGCCCTCTTCGTGCTTTTGTCTCCAAGTTTTTTTAGGTTGGGGGTTATGTCTAAAAATTAATAGGAGTTCCAACCACTCTTATGACTATGATGGAGTCCAATGATAGTTATTTAAGTTTCTAATCATTTGTTTAAGAAAATGATATTGGTTAAGGGTGCTAATGATGTGTTTAGAGTTAACCCTAATGATATAATTAACCTAGATTAAGCTAATGTGGTTGCTTAATAGTGTTCATTGAACTACATAGAGGTTAAATAAATTAATGGAAACGAGAAATAAGATTAATAATATAAGTTACATCACGAATTAGGCACTTAGGCCTTAATTTCCATTAAGGAATACTTAATAATTATTAGTCATTAATGTTGCTGTTAATTATAAATTGTAAATTGACTGTCTCTAGAGTTCTTTGTACATTTGGAAGCTCACTTGGAATTCAAATTTATACTTTTAGTTTGGTAAAGAAACCAAGAGTAAGAGTTAAATTCTAATAGATAATTGTTGCTTGCAATTAAGAGTTGTTTGTTAATTGCTTAGTGATATGAAAACACAAGTATGTTGGTATTGATGGTTGCGAATTATGTGACATGTGATCATAGGCTTACTTAATGATGAAATAGAATGGTGATTTGAGTTGTGTGGCTGTACCATGTTAATATATAGTGTTGGCATAAATTGTGTGGCTTGACTGAATGGATTTCAATTTGGCCGTTAAGTGTAACATCCTGAGTTTTAATCTGGTGCTTAGTTACTAATTAAAGGTAAAATTAAATGGATTAATTTAATTAATCATGTTTTTGGATTGTTAATGGATGTTTTAAACCATTAGGTAGCTATAGGGTTGGGCTAGGATGGAGATTGGATTGGGACAAGATGGCATGAAAAAGTGAGTTTATTCACTGTGTTACATGTTGTGATTTATACACGCTGCATTGTAGTGCATGACACTAAAATCATAATATTAAGTTGTGACTCAACTTTGAAAACAAAAGGAAGATTTGAAATTTAAAGGACACAAGGGAAGAGAAGAGGAGATGTGCTAAGGCTTGACTTAAGGTGATCTTAAAGGTGGATTTTTACCATCACATACTCAGGTAAGCTTCTCATCACTCTTCTTTATTTCTCATCTTAATTTCTTGAGAGTTCAGAATGGGGAAGTTTTGAAATAAGTTAGAAAAACTAGGAATTTTTGTATTACATGTTGCATGTGATTCCAATAGCTTGGTTTAGGTTTTTTAGACATAGAACGAGTGACTTTGTGAGGTGTGGTGGTTGGAAAGGAGAATTAAGATGAGCCCTAATATGAATCTAAGGTTTTGGGGTTTCTTAAGTGAGTTATGTTGTAATTATGCTTAATGGGAATTAGAAGTGATGGTGTGAGAAAAATATAGCTTGGGCTAGCTTAACTGTAAGGGTTATAAATTGAGGAGTGAAATTGGGGAGAGTTTTAGTTAAAAGGTATTTATGTTAAGTTGCAAAATTAACATATAATACCTATTATTGTAGATTGAGGTGCATGAAATCTTGTTAGGGTTCAAGAGGAGATAGCAGCAACTTTGTATCACAGGTAACCCTTTTAGTGATAAAAAGGTTGAGGTAATTGGATAATTTGTATTATTTATTAGCATGCAAAATTGATTTACAAGATTATTTATATAAGTTTAGAATAAATAATATATATATAGGTTTTGCAAAAGTAGAGTGTTTTTGGAAAAAAAAAATTAAAGTATTTGTATATGAGTTGTTTTTAAAAATGAAAGGTAAAGACATTTGTGGGGGGAGATGTGTGTGTTTTAAATGGATATTAATGTATGTTAATAAAAAGGTTAATATGAGGATGAACATATATTTGGATAAGTGGTGAAATGAGCATGATTATATATAAATAATCTATGCATGATCTAGAATTGATGTGTGGTGCATGTTAGTAAGGGTAGGAGTTCACCTTAGTGGAGATAGTGGAGAATAAGTTCATATGGCATTATTGACACCTTAGGATATCAGGTGCAACTTATATTCTCTTTAATGCCTGAAATGGTGAGGTGTTAGAAATTATGCTCCTTAGCATCTATAAGATGCGATATTAGAGTAACACCCTAATTACTTATTATAGGAGGAATTTGTAGTTCAAAAGTAATTTAAGACACCTTGGCTAACAAAAATAGTTTAAGACACCTTGGCTAAGCTTCCTTTCCATGAATGATGAGCTTGGATTGGACATATGTATTGGTCTTGTAAAAGCCTATGAGTTCAATTGGGAGTATTAGAGGATTGGATGAGTAATGGTCATGCATTATACTATGGCGAATTTATTTGTACAAATATAGGTGTCTATGCATGTTAATTAATAATGTAGATTATTTTGATTACTGTAATTTTTATCTCACCTTGCGGTTACAGTTTTACAAGTTTGGAGCTAGACAAAGTATAAGGGAAAGAGCCAAGGAAAGATTAGCTTGATAGCTATTTTGTAATGCCCTATGTAATTTTGAATGTGTACATATTTGTAAACATATGATATTATGAGTTGGCAATTAAGAATACATATCATTTTAATGGTTGCACTTGTATGATATTGTAGGCATGTCATATTTTAGTCTAAGTATGTATATGTTGTGAATATGTAGTGATTTTTGTGGTAAATAACTAAAATACTAATACAAGTACAAAAGATATTATATATATCCGTGTTGATATATAAATTTAGTATGTTATATAGTGATGATTTGACTAAGCAGCGATTATTTATGGTATTATGTTATATGGCCTTATTATGTTAAATCGGGTTTAAAGTGATCAAATCTTGTATTTGAATTGATGTTATGTGTTTGAATGATTAACCATGTATATAATGATCTATTGAACTTGGTTCAAGCCCTAAATTCGATTAATGGTATTAAGTTTTTGATTTGAGTACTAAGATGCACTAAAATGATTTGAAACTTGTACTATTAGTTAGATTTTTGAACAAGTTTCGTGAGGGTACTTAAATTACTCCAATTATATCAGATGCAAAAATGGTGCATATTTGAAGCTAGGCTAGAAAAGCTGTTATGACAATGCACGTGTGCCATGGCACGAGAAGCATATGTCATGACATATAGTATAGAGGCAAGATCTTCCTTCTCTATATCACATAACGTGGCGTATGTATCACTATTGCGAAATCTGTGCTTGAAAGTGCAAAATTGACATTTTGGCCTTGTTATCTTGTAGCTTGATTCTTGTTTTATTTTTATGCTTCTTATGATGTTTTAAAACAATCTATTTGGGTTCAAACAATGATTTTAAAGGGTTTTTGGATCCCAAACTAATTTCAAAAGTATTTCTAGATTATTTATTATTAACCTTTCTCTGATTGTATATATTTAGGAGTGATTTAATTTCCTCCTATGTGCATAATGAAGTGAGTGTTGTATGATGATTTATGGGAATATCAAAGTAGACATTACATTAAGCATGATATGATAATGGAATTTTAACCAATGTAATGCTAATGAGCATGAACATAGACATGTGAATTAATGAACATGAGCATAAGAATGAGGGTATGTGTTTAAGTCAATACTTGGCATAATGATAAATATGAACAACGATAAGTTGAGTTTGATGATTGAATTGTAATAGGTGCTTAAATGGAAGCTTGGAATTAAGATAAGTATGAATATATGATTATGCATAAGGTTACATATTGGTTATGTATTCTTGACTTAATAGTATGTACTTGATTATGAGATAAGTTAATCAAGTTTAAATTTATGACAGGATATTGAATAACATATGCATTTTGCATGATCATGGATGGGTAGGAGTTCACCCAAGTGAGTAAAGACAATATAGAAATTTCATTTGCCTCTATCAAGATTTGTGCACGGTAGTTGGCGTATTTGATTAAAGTGCCTTTATGTCCATTGTCCCTTGGGAATGACATGTGTGAGCATGCCACCTTTCCTATGAGGGATGGGGGAAGTTGGGCAACTATGAAACCTCAAAAATTCAAGAAGCGAGAGTTCATGGTCCAAGAGTGGGAAGCATATACCTTAGTCAGGTAACTCTTAATGTAACATCCTGATTTTTTTTAGATAAAAAAAATTGTTGTGAAATTTAAGTTTTTATTTAAAAAAATAAATAAATAATAATAATAGAAATTTATATTATTTGAGATTATTCAAAAATAATAATATGGTTAGAAATTTAATTATGAATTAAAAACTTAGGTTTAAAATTATATAAGAAATATTTTGTTAAGATATAATTTTAAGATTTAAAAAAAAATTATTATGTGTGTGTGAGTTTAAAAAAAAAGAAAAGAAAGTAAAAAAAAAAGAAAGGGGGGTGTAGAAGTCCCACATCGGTTAAATGTGGGATGAGGAAAGGATTCCTCATGTATAAAAGAAAGCGAGAACGTGCAGGGAAGGAAGAAAAGAAAAGTTTATGTAATTGTGAAAATTGCAACTAAGGGCCCAAGATGCAATTTAGAGAAACTTGCAAGTAATGGCCCAAAGGTTTGAATAATTAAATTCAGACCTATAGTTTTTTTTTAATATAATTTTGGGACCCACAATCCCATTTTTATATTATTTTTCTCTCTTCCTCTCACGTTGCTCGGCGTCTTCTTGCAAGGGGGGATTATTTTCTTTTTCTTCAGGTATGTTCTAACTTTCCTGTTTAGATTAGCATTTAAAAATTTATTTAATTACAAAATTAATTTTATAGTTATTTTCTAAATAATATTAGCTTTCTAGTGATATGATTATTTTGTAGGATAGAGTAAATATTCTGATTAGGATTTTTCTATATGATAGTTAATCTGAGATGTAGGGATAAATTATGATTATTAAATATTTATTTAAGTATGAATAGTATTTTTGAGGTTATAGAAAGGTGATTTGAGGCTTCAGGATAATTCTAAAATTTTTAATTTATTTTTGGACTAATTTTCAGAATATAGAAGGATGAAATTATGATACGAGAAGTGATTTAAGGATAAAAAAAATAGTTTATTAGGGTACGAGAATTTTAGAAAAAGAATTTGGGAAGTTAAATGAGGCATAAATCTTAAATTAGTATTAATATGGATTATAGATCTAAGACTTTCTAATTCTTTAAATTAGAGTTATTTATTTTAATGTAAAATTAATATATAGTATTGTGAAATAATTATGTAGATTATATTGACAAAGATAGTGGTAAAAAAAGAGTTGTGAAGGGGAACTTGTTATTCAAGACACAAGGTAACCATTATTAATGTGTTGTGATGAGTGTGTTTGTGAATGGTTATGTGTTGACTTGTTGTTTGGAAAAACTATGAATTATTGAAAATAAATACTATTATATACTTATTTGAAATTATTGCCAAGTGGGTCAAAAATTTATTTTTATTTATCATGATGAGATATTATTGTTCGGATATATTTCTGTTTGGATATTTGAATGATGCATGACTTATCAGGGTATTTTAATGTATGGTGTTAATGGGAATTTCTGTTCGGTTAATTATAACTACGTGGTAAACCCTCATTGGACCCAATGAGTGGCATGTCGCTTGGTCCAACTCACCTTTGGCCAGGTGATTTGGCGTCCGAGCATGGTGAAAGGAGGATATAAGGTGCAGTCATGCAATTAAATACTTGTTCGATTTGTTTGAAAATATTGTTCGGTTAAATTTTGTGTGCCCACTTAGCAATCGCATGATTAGTTACAACCACATGCATCATTACATATTAATTTTTGGTTACTGGGACTTTTAAGTCTCATTCCCCGTGGTTAATATTTTTACAGGATCGAGTCCGGCCGAGAAAGCACCAGAGGTGTAACTATGGTGTATGAGACACCATTTTTTTACGTTGCCTCTTATTTTGAATTATACAATGTATCTTGTGCCAACTTAAAACATATCTTCTTTGTGAAGCATGTAAACTCTAATCCTTTTTATTAAAAGTAGTTATATGACCAAGAGGATTATGTCTGTCCTTCATGGTTTTAATTGCCTTTTTGGATATTTTAAGACTTGCGTTATGTCTTGGATGTATCATGGTAAGAAAATTTTCTACCATGATAATGGTTTTAATAATTTGCGAAAAATCAGTCTGTAAGTTTTGAGGGTGTTACACTTAACAATTAGAGAGTACGCTTAATGCAATCACACGAGTTAGTCTTATATGATTTGATAGCACATGAATTCAATCAACAGATATAAGGGAAGGAATACGGATGGATTGCATATGATCATGCGTTACTATTGTGATTGAATTATGCCATGTGATTAATGATTAATAGTTTATGATATATGTTGAGTGTCATTAGGATGTTAAATGTGAATCTTTTGCTTACATGCTTATATTACCATACTTTTATGTACTTGAATTTATGTGCTTTGATTGTTGAGATTTTATAATCTTACTCCCTATGGTTGAATGATTTTAGGAGACAATCTAGCTAGGAGCAAAAATGGAGGCCTTTTAGGCTAGAGATGCAAGAGTATAAGTCTCTAGCCTAGTTTATATGTAATAATTCAAATATTTATGTTTCAAACAATAGGGGTTTGTTCATGTCTAGCTATATTTCATTTACATGTGCCTAGCATTGACTTGGGCAATTTTTGGTATTGGTTTTCATATGATTTTTAATAATAAGGCCTAGCATGCAAGGTGTGTGTTATGAATGATGATTAATTATAATAGCATGATTTGTAGGTGTGCATGTTGTACCTGACTATTCGTTATGCTTGTTGAGATGTTTATACTTAAGGTTTGTGGGGTAGACATTTGGTTGATGTGATTGTAAGTTTGACAATCATTAATTCTAGTTTTGAGTATCCATGATCCTTATTTGGTATCAGATTAAGGTAAAATTGAAGCCATTAATTAGGGTATTTAATTATTTACATGTGGATGCTTGGTTCACCTTGATCGAAGATCACAACTGAAAATTTGGCATTCTAGAAGTTAGATTTTAATTGCTTTTATATCTCTATCAAGGTGTGTGTCGCGGTGGAATGCCTAGTTGGTTGCAGCGGATGTGGTTGAGTACTATGGCCTCTGTGCCATCAGTTACAACAAATACATGTTTAGCCATGACAGATTGCTCTGTTTTGTGAAAATGATCTTTTCAACTTTTGTTTAACTTGTCTTTAATGCTCAAAATTTTTTCTATGCGTTCACACAATTATTAATACTCTGATTTCAAGTGATTTTTCTTAAGGGCCTTAATTCTTGTTTTCAATGTATATCATGTTGGGATCTCATTTGTTTAAAGTATTTTAAAAAGAAATCTTGGAAATATGCCAATAGTCAAGGTTAATCATTTTTATTTTCCTTTAGTACTTTCTATCATTGTAAATTGGATTTAATTTTTTTGGGTACCTTTGCTAATTTCTTTAATTGTGCTAGTGAAGTGGTTAAGTATGGATAATGTTGAAGAACATTACATTAGGTTTAATTTTTTTTAAATAACAATATTGATACAAAAAATTATTAAAAATTAATAGTATTAGGGTTAAATGATTGAAAATATACTTTATAACATAAAAAGATTAAATTGATATATTATGTAAAATTAGGTTATTAAAAATATATTTTAACTTTCATTTTAATATCATGTTGTATGATTACTTTTCATTGGATTAGTTGATGAAATTGAATGTGATTTTTACCAAAAGTAAATACATAATTTTTACAATTGAATATTAGATGGCCAGATGTTTTTTGAATAAAAATTCATACCTCATATATTCATAAAAACCTTAGCAATAAATATATAAAACAATTTGAAATTCAGTCCTTTGAAATTAATTAATTTTCAGTTAATGACAAAAAAAAGTTCAATGGAATTATGAAAAAAGAATTATAGTGTGTATTTTCAGGCAAAAACAAAATAAAAAAAAAAAGAAAATGGTATGAGTACTGACGATTATTGCCAGCAAACCTGTTCGATACGCGGCACTTGAAAGTAGAGAGCCAGAGAATTTGAGCAGTGCAGATAAATATTTGTGTCTTCAATCTTCACTACGCTTGCTTCCCTGGGCATCTCTGGTATCAGCTGCAATGGCGAGAGCGGCCTGCAATCACTTTATCCCCAGTTTAGTGCATCCATTGAAGTCGACCCTCTACAGAAATCAATCTCTATTCACCGGAAACTCTCACTTTACAGGCATTTTTGGCCATCGGCGGCGCTTCTCTTCATCTAAGATAAGCATGAGCCTCAGAGCCGGTATTGTTGGTCTTCCCAACGTCGGGAAATCCACTCTCTTCAATGCCGTTGTTAGCCATTCTTATCCTTTCTTCTACTCTGCCATTGTGTTTCTGTGTTTCCAAAATTGACGAGAAACTCTACTAATAAGGAATGCAGCGTATTTTTAAAATTTGGGTGTCCATTGAAATAAGGGAGCTTTCTTTTCTAAAGTTCCTTTTTTGGCTATCCAGTGTGAAGTCTAGCTCATTTGGTCAATGTTTTCGTTTTATTATGATTGAACTATGCTTCTCAGTTTACTTTAGTTTACATGGACACTACCGTAACTCTGCTTGTGTACTTAAATGAATTGAATGAACTATCTTTGACCAGACCTCATCTATTTTCTGCCTCAGTCTTCTGGATAAATAGAGACTGCATTTCTAACCATATTAGCCATGCTGATTCTCAATAAACCCCCCGGCCCCCCCTACTGCGAATTAGTTATTCTTTGTTCCTGAAATCTCCAAATGGTCCCTGATTCTTATTTAATAGCAAAGTTGCACTTATATTTGCCTTGAATAGTTCCCTGTGGATGTTTACCTACCTCATTGAGAATTATATTCTGAACTTTTGATACTGCTAGTTCATACCATTAATACTACAAAACATCAAAGTGGTTTCTCTTTCATGTTGCTTCGTGTTTATGACATACTCCCTCTGGTCCCTATTATAAGCCACTTCTAATTATCTCACCAAAACTAATGAGAGGTGATTAAGTTATTAATTTTGTCTAAACATAGAATAAACTTTCAATTTTATCCCTATTTAAATGAATTTTTTTGAAAAATTTGCATTACATTTTTCTCTCATAGTTCATTAGTTTTAATAGGGGTAACATTGGAAAAAAAAACATAATTAATACCACACTAAGCGCCTTATATTAGGGACCAAATAATTTTTTCTAAAAGTTGCTCTATAAAGGACTGAGGGGAGTAGTGTTTACATGAGAAAGAAAAAATTGTTCTGTACATACATACTGATTGACGATTGTTGTCTTAGGTTGAAGATAAGCTAACCCAAAGTTGATATAGCTAGTTCATTATATTCATCCATGGAACTGTACTAGTCTGGAAGACTATCAAGAGGGCTTGAGTTAAGAAAACTGGAAAGAAGCCCATGGGAAGATCGTGATAAAATAATAAAAGTAGTGCATATGAATTGACAATAGTAAGGGCTAAAGATGATACAGTCTTATTCTTATTTGAAGAAGAAAGACAAGAGAGAACCAAATGGTGTAGCCAAGTGCTTAGGCTATAATCTGAGTTGGATGGAAAAGGAGACTGTTGAATGGCCTTGACGGGTGTTCCAAACTACTAAAATTAACATGCACCTTATTCCTGTTCACAGTCCATAATCATGAAAGATACAAGCATCATTCATATGACATAATTAAAAAGATTTAATGGAAGAGGAATAAGATAGAAATGGAGAGAGATATAGATCATGTCCTGCAACTTCTGATAGCAAAGCAAAAATGACTTCAATGCAGCTTTCTTTCCATTTTCTTGGTTCAATTTTCCAGCTTTATTACCTTGCAAGTTGTTTGGACCATATTTGGTGTGCTGGGCTTGAGAGCTCTGACTTGAATCCCAAAAGCCAAGCCAACACAAGGTTCACATGATGCAAGCAAACGATTTATGTTTACTTTTTCTTGTAAAACATTGAGACAAATTCTCCACGTGATCCTGGCACTAGAGATGTAATTAGACATAGTTCTTGCAGCAATTGTAAAGAAAAACGCAACTGTTCCTTTTTCCTGGTCCTTTTTATATCATCAAAAACTTTTAGAGCACCAGATTATTATATCGTTGCATCAGAATCCTTTAAGCAATTCATTCTTAACACCCTTGTGCATATGCTTTAGGAGAGATCGAGCTTATAACTTGATGCTTTAGTAGTTGTAGATGCCCTATGAGATTGAAAAGAGGTTGCTGAAGTTGGACTCATCTGCAAAAGAGATCTAGGCTACAATTTTGGTTATGTTATTTTATTTTTATGCATAACTTAATCTAAAAGATGAATTCTCTCTGAAAGCCATGAACAAGAATGTTATGCTTTATTGGATAATATTTAGAGATTTCTTTGCCATACTTATACAAGCAACTTGCCAGCAGGGGTCTTGTACATCTGTATATTACCAACTATCTAACAAAGTATAATGACCATCTTTTAAAAAATATATACATAAAACAAAAGTGATATTAGTTTCTCCTAGTTCTGATAAATTTACTTGATGCCACTGGTTGTTGTATGGATGTCCTATGAAAATTTTTCTGTCTTGCTCTTACTGCTATCATAATCCATCAAACCTTGATATATTGTGATCATATATTTCTAGGTTGAAAATGGAAAGGCTCAAGCAGCTAATTTTCCTTTTTGTACAATAGAGCCAAATGTAGGGATCGTTGCCGTTCCAGATCATCGTCTCCAGGTGCTTTCTGATCTCAGCAAGTCTCAGAGAGCAGTGCCAGCATCTGTAGAATTTGTAGATATTGCTGGGCTAGTCAAAGGTGCAAGTCAAGGAGAGGTATTCTCATAATCTCTCTCCTTTCTAGCTTTTATGTGTCATTGAAGACTTATTGTCGATCTTATTTTTATAATTTATCTGCATTTTTTCCTGCTATGAGTTTGTTACTAATTACAAGTGTTTCAGGGGCTTGGTAATAAGTTTTTGTCTCATATTCGTGAAGTTGACTCTATACTTCAGGTATATCTTACCATTTCCTTGACATTGTTACATTGTCATCATTGCTACTATACACATTATTTTGTAAATTATCTTTCATTTGTTGATGAATCAAGCACTCTTCTTTGTATTGCTTATCAGAAATGAAGTTTGGGAAATCTTGAATATCTTTGATAAATGCAGGTTTTGATGAACATTATTTTTTATTTCGTGAGTTTATATTGTTATTTATCTATTGATTATTGCATTAGGTTGTGCGATGTTTTGAGGACAATGACATTGTTCATGTGAATGGGAAAGTTGATCCCAAGACTGATATTGATGTCATCAACTTGGAGCTTGTTTTCTCAGACTTGGATCAGGTCAGCTTATTTAATTTCATTATTCTCTTCTTTAACCACCTTTCTGTTCCTTTAGAACATCCAAGATTATGTTAGTGGCTAAATAACTTAAATTGTATTTGTCTTGATTGTATATGTATTATATATTTTCGGTTTTTTGGGGGGTGGAGGGCATTCATTTGGAATTTTGGCTGTCTATTTGTGTAATGACACCTTCATTTTATGATTTGCTATTATTAAATCAACTAGAGAACTAAAGAATGGAAATTCTGTTCTTCTATGAAATGCAGATTGACAAAAGATTGGAGAAACTAAAGAAGGGCAAGGCAAAAGATTCTCAATCTAGACTCAAGGTAACAGTTGTAGAGTGCAACTATCCCTTGTGACTTTTCCTATCCTGTTAATTGATGGGATCAAGATATATTACTAAAATTAATTTAGAACTTCTTGATTTTAGGAGGAAGCAGAAAAGTCTGCACTAGAAAAGATCCGGGAAGCACTCATGGATGGAAAACCTGCACGCTCTGTGACCTTAACAGATTTTGAAAGGGATGCTGTAAAGCATCTCTGCTTACTCACCATGAAACCTGTCATATACGTGGCCAATGTTGCGGAATCTGATCTAGCTGATCCTTCAAGCAATGACCATGTAAAGGAAGTCATGAATCTATCATCTGAATTGAAATCAGGAATTGTGACTATTTCAGCACAGGTATTCATTTACGAAGTGAGCATTGTAGCTATTACCACTGTTCAGGGCATCTTTCTTGTGAGTCAGCGCATTTGTATGAAATGGTGCTGGGGAATTTATCTAAAGCTAATTTCTGGAAGTGCAGTGGTTTGTCTGCATCTTGTAAGTTAGTGGGGGAAAGAAGACAAAATAATGAAATCTTGAGTCTTGATATTGTCATTGTTGATAGGTTAGTAAGCTGAGATTATTCTTTGTCTTGAAGGTTGAAGCAGAGCTTACTGAACTACCAACTGAAGAAAGACAAGAATACTTGAAATCTCTTGGTGTCAGTGAAAGTGGTCTTGGCAATCTAATTAGGGCAACCTATAACCTTTTGGGGCTTCGAACTTACTTTACTTCTGGTGAGAAGGTAAGAAAAAAGCATGGAACATATATTTGAATATCATAACATAATTTACTTAGAAACTGATTTTTTCCCTATAATGTGTACGCAGGAAACAAAGGCATGGACAATACTTGCAGGTTGGTTTTGTTTGCATGTGAGCATGCTAATTTACATTATAGCAAAATGTTACTGTCATTGGCTTCAGCCTGCTCTGAGCATCATTTTCAAATAATTGGGAATCATATAAATTTGACTGATTTTTAACATGAAACTTGTTTCATCTACTGATGTAATAAATATATACCATCTAATTTTTCATTTATTGACCGTTTCTTTGTTTAGATGACCTATTTTATTAAGTAAGATCATTGATAGCTCATATTCATTATAGAATATTGGTAATGATATATAGTCACTGCCAAGATTGGAGTGCTGTTTTTTTTTTTTAAATATTTCTATGCCTCTATTTTTCTAGGAATGACTGCACCTCAAGCTGCTGGAGTCATTCACTCGGACTTCGAGAAAGGCTTTATTCGAGCAGAAACAGTAAGTAACAGGACAGGATATAGTTCTGAACTTGGGGTGATACGTTGGAACATACAATCTGGCATTGCAAGTATCATAAAAGTGAGAGGCCCTCTGGTATATCATATGGATAGTTCAAAAATAAAATAAAATAAAACCAAGGTAGTTGTAATATTCGGATATGGGACACCTGATCCATTAAGTCTATAGAAAAAGACTTAATAAACTGTCAGTAAAAGTTATACATTTTGTTAAGGGGCTAAATTTTAAACCGAAATGCAAGGTGGTCGCCAATCATCTTCAGATTACCATTTCATGGAACATTGTTGAACATCATAACTCTTTAATCAGTTACAAATAATAGTTGTGACTAATTATTTCTGAGTTTATTTACGCCATGACCATTGGTATTTCAGAACTCTGGGTGTGGTCTTCACTGTTTGTTCAGGTGTTCCACGTGTGTGTGTCATGCCAATTACCAAACCCAAGATGAAATGCCATTGTAACTGAATGAGATACAGGGAAGAAAATATATTCGACTTAGTGATCAAAATCCCCCCCCCCCCCCCGGGAGGTGGGGGTGGGGGAACTAATCCAATAGATAGCTAAAGCATAATCCTCACTGCTTCACATATCACGCGCAGACAAATGCATATGACTTTCAACAATAGTGTTTCTAATTGGACAATCTTTCAGTTCTCTTGCTTAAAAATTCAGTTCTTCTAGTTGATGGTTAGTAATAAACCTGCTTTAATTAGATCGATTAAACTTTTGCTCTGAATGTCTTGGAATTTACCTTGACAGCTATATCTAATGGTTTTAATTCTTCTTAAATTATGCATATAGGTGTATAATGTAGGAAAGGGCTTGCTTTTATGCATATTTATGCTGCATTGACACCTTTATTTTCGATTCAATTTTAAATTAGGTGTCTTATGATGATTTTGTTGCATCTGGTTCACTTGCTGTAGCAAGAGAGAAAGGACTTGTAAGTTGCTTTTTTTTTTTAAGCAAATGATACATAACACTTGACTATCTATCTTTTATTATTTTTTTCTTGGCTAATCCAGCTTTGTAAATACTCTTTCATCTTTGATGAGATTTCCTGTAATAAGAGTCAAACTTTGGACGATTACTTGCCCAGGAGGATCAATATCGGGGTATATCAGTTTTTTCTCGAATGATTAGTGCGATTGAGATTTAGCATAATTCAACATCCATTACTAAATTGCATCATCTTTATATATGTATTTCTGGGAAAAAAACAACACAAAAAAAGGTTACTGTATGTGAGACTTATCATCTTTACCCTTATCATGTTTTTTTATTTTTGTCTCGTTTAGAATGTAAACATTCACTTACGTCATGTAGAAGATTTTAGATTATCTTCAGTTATTCATTCTTTTGGGGGGGGCCTGTACAAATTCATGAACTAGGAACTATTTTGAATTCTCCTGAACAATTGTTCTAATTTAATCTGAACATATATATATATATATATGTTTGCAGCTGAGATCTGAGGGTAAAGACTACATTGTACAAGAAGGAGATGTCATGTTGTTTCGTTTCAATGTATGATAGCACTTGCTGCTATCAAGTGAGGATCAACAGGGAAGTTGATATTTAATGCACAACGACAGATAGGGCATTTTTTCAGCCAATTGCTGAGTATAGATTTGAAAGGCATTCTTATTGTTGTATTTTTGGAAAAATTCTGAATTTTCTTTTTCGTGCAAGGAGTGTATTAACAGCAGAACACTCGATAGTTATTTGTTTAGTCTTCTACACATGCTTAAAATAGATATGAATATGATGTTTATTGCATTACTTCCAAGTTAACAATTAGACCTTTCAATAGTAATGTAGGGATATTAGAAGGTGATATCTTTTTCTTATTTTATATTCGAATATTTTATTTTTAATTATCTTTTCTGCACTCAATATCCTTGCTGTCACACTGATGTGATTTCCTTGCTTCCAAGTAATTGAATGCTCAATGCTATTATCTGTCATCATTTATTAATTTTGGCTTGCTTAGCTAAAAATATCTGAATCTCATCAGTTACGACTTAAAACCTAAGCTTAAATGGAGTTTTTTATGTGCTTAAGCACGTTAAGCTGGTGCTGGGTCGTATTTTATTGCCCTCCCTTGAAAACTATTTTAGGAATGTTCAAACTCTGAACAGAAAATTTTGGTAATCTGTAAAGATAGATAGATAGATAGACAGAGAGAAAATGGCATATGTCAGCTGTTTACGCACACTAATTTATCACACTTTCACAGTTTAAAGTATGTAGAAAAATTCACCCAAAAAAAAAATTCAGAAAAATGTAATTATTTTTAAGAGCAAGTCTATTATTTGATTTTTACAAGAATTACTGTTAAATTAAAGTTTTATTACAAAATAATGTAAAACCACATTTTCTTGATTGGGTTAATAAGTATTAGAAATAATTATATTTACTTATGTATCTGTTACAAATAGTAATTAGTGGTTATGACCAACCCAATTTAGCTAACCATGGTTAGGTTCAGTGCTTGAAATATATATATTATGACTACAGACTAATACTCATATATTGAAGTAATCAGATCATTCTCAAAAGTCCTATCTACGCTCTCTCTCTTTCATGGATTATGTTCTCTTAAATCCTTCATGGTATCAGAGCAGCGATCTATCTTAGACATGGAGAAGACAACTGAATCATCTCATTCATCGATGATGAAGACTCCTCGCAAGATCGTGGTCTTTGCTTCTCAAAGTGATATAATCACTTTTACTCATTTGATTACTGTGAAGCTTGACGAGCACAATTATCTCTGGAAACAACAAATTAGCACTGTAGTTCACGGTCATGGTCTTGAGCATTTTATTGACAAGAATGTCAAACCACCAACAAAATATGTTGCCATTGGTGACGCCAATGATGGAGTCCAACCTAATCCTAATTTTCTTGGGTCTTGGATGTCTTGTTCAATGTTTGAAGCTACGCTTACTCGGATCATTGGATCTGAGTCCTCTCTCCAGATTTGGGAGTGAATTCAGACGCATTTTGGGGCCCAAACGAAGGCCGAAGTGTGCCAATTGAAAACTCAGTTAAAGTCCACAAAGAAAGGTGATCTCTCTGCCAATGATTATCTTCTCAAAATCAAGGGGATTGTTGATGCTCTTGCTGCCATTGGACATCCAATAACTGAATCAGATCATATTGAGCATATTTTTGATCATCTCTCTTAAGATTATGATCCATTATTACGATACTTACTACCAGAATAGATCCGTACATTGTTGATGAGATTGAAGCTGAGTTATTAGCTCAAGAAGCTAGGATTGAGAAAAATAAGAAGTCTATTACTGAGAGTGAATCTTGTTCATCCCAAGAACTCTTCTCGTGGTAGTCATTCTAGTGGTAGCCATCATGGAAGAGGATACTCCTCTAGATCTAATGGTAGGGGTGGCTCTGGCTTCAATGGTTGTGGTGGTCGATCTAAAAGTTTTGTGCCTTGCCAGATCTGTACTAAGCCGGGTCAGTTTGTTGTTGATTGCAGGCATCATTTTGATGAGGAATTTTAGGCTATGAGCTTCGACGATAAGCATTTAGCTGGTGTTGGTCATATTGCAAATTTTGCTACTACTGATCTCTAATTGATCTAGATTGGCACCTTGACTCTGGAGCTACAACTCATGTCACTCGTTCATGCAAGAATGTTGATGATAAGTTAGGTGATATCAACTCTAAATTAGTTTTTGTTGGTAATGGTGCTGGTTTGTTAGTTCATTGTAATGGACATTCTACTGCTTCTTGTGCTAATTACCATCTAAACATGTCTAACATTCATCAAGTCCCTTCTATTACCAAAAATTTGCTCAGCATTTTTCACCTATGGGATGATAATGAGATATTAATTACTTTCTTTTCCAATGCTTATGTTCTCAAGGATTTGCGAACTAATATAGAGTTCTTTCGAGGTACTACAACTACTGGCCTTTGTCCTTTATGAGAAATTCTCTATTAGATTCATCATCATAGACACCATTCATCATTTTCAGCTTTGGTTACTTCTACAACAAATACTGTCCCTTCTTATTTGCCTTGTAATTTTGATTATGCTTCTTTGCAAAAGTCTTTTTCCAATTTTAGGCTTTGGCATAATAGGTTAGGGCATTCGGCCTCTCCTATTGTCTCTTATGTGATGAAACTTTGTAATGTTCTTGCTTCTAATAAAAGTGTGTTTGACTTTTGCAAATCTTGTTGTATGGGCAAAGCACGTAAACTTCCTTTCTCTAACTCTTAGACTGCTTACACTACACCTTTCCAACTTATTCATACTGACATATGGGGTCCTGCTTCACATAAATCTCTGCAAGGTCATGTGTATTATATACATTTTGCTAATGCTTTTTCCAAATATACTTGGATTTATCCTATGTCTGGAAAATCTAATGCTTATGATATCTTTCTGACATTCAAAAAGATGGTTGACTTGCAATTTAATGCTAAGATTCTTGCTGTACAATTTGATGCTGGTGTTGAATAAATGAAGATTGGGAAATATTTGAAGGAGAATGGCATTCTACATCATATTAGTTGTCCCTATACTCATGAACAGAATGGGATCACTAAGCGAAAACATAAAACCATTGCTGAGGCAGGTCTTATATTACTTACTAATGCTTCTTCTTGCTTTTCCTTGTGGCTTAAGGCTTTTCACATTGCTGCTTATGTTCAGAATAGGTTACATACTAAAATTCTTAAAGTGCTGTCACCATTTACAAGGTTCTACAATAAAGCTCCTGATTACACTCATTTGAGGACTTTTGGTTGCTTATGTTTTTTACTTGCTAGGCCCTATAATAAACATAAGATGAATTATCAATCTATTAATTGTGTTTTTGTTGGCTATAGTTCTGTTCATAAAGGCTATAAGTGTTGGGATCCTAAAGGTTGAATTTATGTTTCCATGCATGTGATTTTTAATGAACATGACTATCCATCTATCTGGCTTTTTGCTTCTTCTACTTCCTCTTAGTTTCCTTCTTCCACTTTCTCATCTTCTTCTTCTTCCTCTTTCTCATCTACTTGTCCACTTATCCTTTCCACATGTCTTGTTCATTGTTAGGATAGGCTGGCACCTAATAAGGGGTGAATTGGGTGACACTTAAAAACTTTAAAAACTTAAAAAGAGAGAAGAACTAAAGAGTAAAGGAAGAATATAAGATGCATGAGATTTAAACTGGTTCAGTCTCAAAATTAGCCTATGTCTCATCCTCAAGATCACACTTGAAATTTTCAATAAGATCACAAGCTTCAATGGGTGCTTGCTACCACAGTACAACTCTCAAACTAAACTTATTTTGATTCACTTAATAACCTTGCCACAATTCAATAAATTGTTACAAGCACTTGAAAAATTACTTTTCAAGATTTTAGAGAAAATAAGAGAAGCTTTTGCAGAAAACTTTCTTAAAGAGTAGATGAGAATACAATTGAAAGCTTATAAACTTATGAGATCTTTTCACAATTCTTTTCAAGAATAATGAAGGAATGTAAGATGTAAAAGCACAATTTGAAAGCTTTTTAAATGCACAAATGATAATTTATTCGCTCAAGGATCATTAGTTCCTATTCTGGTTCAAAATGAATTATTTATATAGTTTTGAAAGTTGACAGACCATTAGAACATTGATTCTATTCATTAGTGCATTTTCTTATAAGTGACTGGTATAATCATTTGTGCATTTGCACTGGAATTATCCCAGGAATCTGTCTGTGATAAATCACATGTGAGAACCTTGAGCTCTCATGAGTAGTTTTACACTTCTGAATAATCATTCAGTTCTGTGTGCCAAAACTCACATGGTACCATATTGCTTTCTCATATTTGCACTTATGAATATATTCACATATCAAAGTACTAAAACTTTCGAGTGCACCATTAGCTCTCACTCATGGTTTTGCACATGAGAAACAATCATCAGTTCTGTATGATAAATCACATGTGAACCTTTTCTCTCTCACGCGTGAAATGGCTGGCAAATTTATGTGATCAAAACTTGCATGGAACTAAAAAGCTATTACGCGTGAAATTGCAAGTACTAAAGCACAAACTCGTTTGGTGCATTTTCACGTGTGGAACTACACATAACTTAAGGAAGATTTTGTACTATCAAGAGATATAAATTTATGAATTAATGATCATACATATGAACAATTTTAGCTTAGCTTGAGAAGACTTAAAACTCAACAAAGCAAAATGAGATTGTGCAACAAGTAACAAATCACACGTGGCTACCATCAATTTCATGCGTGGTTTTGCAATTTGACATAATGCAATGAAGTTGTTGCTCACTGCAAGTGCACGGGTCATAACAAGTAATATAATAAAAGTAAAGTATTATTTCCTTAAGGATTTGTTCAAAAACAATGATCAAACAAAAGACTAAGTGAGTTTAATTAAGTTGAGCCAAATATAATTAGGTGAAAATAATTTTTTGCAAACTAAAACACTAAAAATAAAGAAAAGTAATTGATTTACAAACTTCAAACACAAATTGGGACCTAGGATTATTTATCCCCCTTGCATTTTATAACACCAAAATTACCTCCTTTCATAAATGCTTTTAATGAAAATAAGTGCTAACCCAGCGTTCTAAAAATACTTGAACAATCTCTCTCAAGTCATGAACAAGTGTTTAGTTAAATTAATGGCCCAATCTCTTGTTACAATTAATAAAACTCAATTTTAAATACCAATCCTAATGTGGCTATGCAAGGCTAGCAAGTATATCTCTATCTTATTAGCAAAACCATCCATTCAGCATGCAAATATCAAGTTCTTGCAAAATTTTACCCAAGTTCTACATTCAACCTAGCCCTCTCAAGCATCAATTAAGTGAACCCAACATCTAAATAGTTGCCAATCATCTTAGAAGCATTAAGCAAAGAGTAATATAAACACACACACACACACACACACACACACACACACATCATTAATCACAAAAAGAGAGGAGGAATATAATGTTAATCCATACAAGGGTTCAAAATAATCATAGAGCAAGGAGTTTAGCTACTCATAAATATCAAAAAACTATAAATACACAAGATATTCATAGCTATTACAAGATTACAAGAAGAGAAATGGAGAAGAAGCAAAGGAACTGAATAAATAGAGCTTCAAATCTTTTTAAAGCTTCAACTCTTGGATCCACATCATCTAAAGCTCAAATCCTAGCACAACAAAGCATTTAAAGTGTCTTCAAGTGTGTAGAATGACTTCTAGGTCGAGCTCTCTGAATATATGTGTCCAACCCAACCAATTTCAGACTTAATAAAACATAGCATTTTCTGATAGCAGTAAAAGCTGCAAACGAAAGTTATGACTTTGGGACGACTTTGGTAGTTTTACACTGTTTTTGCAGCTAACGAAAATTGTTCACTTTGTGCTTGATTTCTTCATCCAAAATCCTTCTAAAAACATCCACAAAGCTCTAAAAATGCTTTTAATCAAGGTCTTCAACCAAAATAATACAAAATTAGGCCAAAAAATATCAAATCAAAGCCAAGAATACAAACCCAAAACAAAATACACATTTTTTTAATTTGGGCAATAAAAACATATGCAATTGAGCCAAAATGGATTAGAATCTAAGAAAAATGTGATGAAATAACATAAAATTTTAGAGATTAACACACCCCCAAACTTAGATTTTTACTCATCCTCAACTAAAATAAGCAATAAAATAACTAGATTGACCAATTATCCATCTACTAAGCATGCATAAAATATCCTCACTAGTTGCTCCAAATGTATATCAAAGAGGATAGCAATGAAAAACTTGAGATAATGAAAAACTAACCATTCCATCATTGTGAAGGATAAATGAAATTCAAAGAACTTGAGATAATGAAAAACTAACCATTCCCTCAAAAGGGGATCAAATGGAAATAATGCAATAGGTTGGCTTGAAAGGTTCAAACGCATTTGAAAGAATGCCTAAATCATTTTTCAATATCATACAAAGTGATTAAAATGCCTCAAGAGATTTCAAGATAGCTTTTAGAGTCTCTTAATTGAGAAATAAAATGCACATTAATTTGCCACAAAATTTCCTAACAGAGGCATTCAAATTATTGTTTAGTTCAAAAGTGCAAAAGAAAATTTTACCAATTGTTGGAAAATAAGCCTGAACACTACAAATCAAGCATGCCAAAATATTGATCACCACTTCATATAAAAATATAGTTTAAGCAACATTCTATCATTAGATCATTCATTCAGTTGAATAAAAAATTTCTCAATCTAGCTCAAATTTTAGAAAAGAGGAACAGTAAATAGCTAAGTTTTAAAATTGAAGTTCATGACAAATCAACCAAAATCCCCAAACTTAAATTAAACAGTGTCCTCATTGTCAAAAGATCAAAATGAGGGTCCTCTCTCATGCAAAAAGATGTTGCATGAGAGGCACAAAAAAATCAAAACCTGTAGCAAAGTATAGAGTGATCATATCCACAGGCACACTAAAAAGAGTCTCACTAAAAAGTTACTAATAAAAACAAAACAAAAAATATAAGATATAATGAAAAGTTAATTAGTGTGATCATTAGCATCTAAGTCAAAGCCAACATCAGTATTGGCTTCCTCTTCTTGCTTTACCATTACATTTTTTTTCCACATCTAGAACCTTTAAAGCATGCTTCAAACAATTTAAAATTTCCAACAGCCATATTTAGGGAGCCCAATTCAAGTATTAAAGCATCCAACAAGACAAACTCAACTCATTCTTGTTTAAAAGGTTAAAATTGGGACAATCAACCACCTATATCCAGTTAGTCAATGTTCCAATATAGAAATTTCCCAATCTCAACTG